ACCCAGTATTGTCTGACTGTGAGATTAAATTAATATATCACTTTTTAACAAGATGTGATAATCAATAACTAATAATTTATCTTATTTTAATTCCTAGCAATTGCATCTACAGGAACTTTAAAAACTAATACAATGTCATCAACAACACCAAGTATGATGGATGGTTCTTCAAGTTCGGAAAAAACGATAGAAGAATCATATATGATGTTAAAAGGAAATAATGAATCAACAGATGTAGGTTCATAAAATTTTTGTTTAACCTTTTTATAATATCACACTTATTTATTTATCCTCGAAAATAGGATGATGAAGCAGATCCATTTAACAAATTTTGGGATATTGTTGAAGGGTTGGTTCAAAAAATCTCTAATCCTGTTGCCTTCGCTACGGTACCTCTTAATGGTGCTTACTCTCGAGCAACATTAGACCAGAATATCGTTCAACCTACTTTACCAATTCATTATAATACCGTAAACGAGAATATTGGTGAGTTACATTTCTTAGTATCGCTTTAGATATTTAGATGAAGGCTCATTTTACTAATATGTAGATAATTATAGTGGATGATTCTAAAGTTGAAGAGCTAAATGCAGCAATGATGGAATCATTTTATATTATACCCAAGGACCAGAGGCTTAATTCACGAACTGGAATGCCCCCACAAACTTCATCATCATCAACCCCATCGACTCCTATTCCTTCTGATGATAAAAACTCAACAAAAACTTTAGAAGAGTATTCTATTGAGAATAAGCAACTCAAGGCTATAATAGATAAGCTTTCAAAGAGAATGTTAAGTTATGAAAAGGTAGGTAGTAAATGACGTATTGCACTAATAACCTCATTGTTTCATAATTTAATGGATTTCAATCTTTTTAGGCTGCAGAAGAAAATAATATGTTGAAAAGTAGTATTTTACAATTCAAAAATGACGTTCAAAAACAGGTATGTTTATTATAAAAAAAAAAAAACCTTAATTTGGTTCATTAGTTTATTTCATTAAATATTTTTTTTTTTTTTATCTTTAGGCAAAGCGAATAAAAGTAAAGCAAACATCTCCTGAAAGTTCAACTGGTAAATAAAAATAAATAAATAAATAAAGTAGCATTCTCATTCATTAAATTAGGAAAATTTAACCTAAATTTTTTTTTAATGTAACATGTTGTAGTTGGTAATGCTCATCTTCAAAAACGTATAAAAGAGCTAGAAGAAGAAAATCTTGTATTGAAATCTGAAAAAGATAAACAGGTATTTTGAATTTTTTTAAATTGATGTAATTATTTTCATCAAAATTAATTATATATTATTATTATTTGAATTTGAATTCCTAGCATGAACAAATTGCAAAATATAAAGATCGATGGGAAAAGTTAAAGGAATCTGCTAAGAAGAAACGAGTTAATAAGCAAGTTGAAGCATCACAAATTGATAATTCTTCTCATCAAATTTGAATTCTGTCAAGACCATTATTTTCAAGTTAAATTTATTTTATTTTAAAGGATTTTAAGCGAAAAGTTTTGATAGTGTTTAATTTTTTTGTTTGTAAACATTATAATATATTCATTGTTTAATTGCGGGTAGTGGAAAAATACGTTATTATAATAGCTAATCCATGATTCCAAAAAAAAAAATATTTAATAAAATAAATATTTTGTGTTTCTAAAATATTTGTCTATTCTTTTATGTAAAATTTGTGAAGGATTGTATTTGTTTATTAGATTTTGAATTTCTATATGTTTGTTGATTTCGTTACCACTCGTTATCATAGTATTATCAAATTTCATTATAAATCGAAAAATAATCATTTGAATGATTTTTTTATCGTTCAAGTCGAACAATATTTATCGTTTTTCTTGAATGATTATTTCTTTGATCATTCAAGTCAAACGATTTCTTATTCACAAATATAAATGTAATTAATATAAAATTTTAAAAATATATATTTATTAATATATAAAAATAGATTACTACTAAAATGTTTAATTATAACTGAAAACTTGTATTAAATATCACATAAAATACTGAATATAAAATTTGTTATTGATTGGATATTTATAAACATTTTAATATATGTGTATTTCATTATGATGCATAACTTAACTTATTACACCAAAGGTGATTTAATTAATAAAATAAAAAGTTTAATTTAAAATAGTTTCTTTCATCAATTTTCTAATTTTAAAATACCTAGTGCAATAATTTAAAATAAGTTTTATTTATAATTTAAATTTTTTTACCGGGCAATACTTTTTTTTTTGTGAGTTACGATATATTCAATTTTGAAATAGCTGTCTAAAAATAATATTTTTTAGATATATAAATAATTTGCATTTTCTTAAATTTTTAACCTTTAACCAAATACTTACTAACAAATTGTATTAAGTAAATTCACATTTAAAATTCTTATTGCATTTCGACACAATTTAAAATAATCATTATATACTTTAGTTAATAATGCTTTTCTGTCACTTGAAATCCAATGACAATCTATGATAACAAATTATAGTTAACTCTTTTTATAACAAATTTTGATATAAAAAATTTTACAATACAACAGATTTTTAGTATCAAACAGATTTTTAAATATAAAAACCTTACTATACTGAATTTAGTAATTAAAAATTCATATTATGTTTAACGAATTAAAGTCAGAAAAATTTAGATATAAAATAACTCTTTTTATAATGAATTTTCTCTATAACAATTTTTTTTGATACAATGAAGTTTTATTTAAAATGAATTTTACTAGATTTATGTATATAAAATTTTATAGTTCTCTGTACTTAGTTTTTAAATAAAATTAAAAATTGAATAAATATTTATATTACACATTGTGTCTTGTGTTTCATATTTTTTTTTACATATTTTATTTTTTACACATTTTTTTTTTGTATAATGTCAATAATATCAAAAGTAAATTCAAAAAACAACTTAATCAACCTACTAACAAACAAGATGAACCTTTAAAAAAAATGAAAGTCTCTTACAACTGCATAAAAAAAAGAATTTTATTTGAAAAAAATATCATCATCTTTTTAAAACAAAAGACTTGATTAATGAATATGACATTAATGAAGGCATAATAAGTAACATTTTAAAGGAGAAAGACTATTGGCTTTCTGTAGATACTAATTTATACTAAGCCAATTTGAAACGTGATAAGAAAACTCCATTCTCTTTTATTGAAAAAGCATTAGTAATATAAATAGATAATACACTTAAAGCTAGCCTTATTATTACTGATGATATTCTTTCAACAAAAGCCTTGAAATTTTGCTTTTTTATTAAAGGAGAATAAGTTTAAAGGGTCTAGTGGTTGGATGAACAACTTTAAAAAATGACACAATCTTAAACAGTACTATATGCATAGGAAGCTGCAAGTACACCATTCAAAGATCTCAAAATAATGATAGAGAATCTCTGGCAAATTTTAAAAAATATAGTCTTGAAGATATATTTAATTGTAACGAAACAAGACTATTTTAGAAGATGAAATTATGTCGAATAATATCTAATGAACAAACATCAGGAAAGAAACAATCAAAGAATTATATAATGATCCTACTCACATACAACGTAATAGAAAGTGAAAAGCTGACGTCTTTGTTTATACA